ACACACACACACACTCACTCACACACACAGGCCTGAGATCAGTTCTGATGACTCGCTGCATGAAAACACTGAATAATGAGCGATTAATAATGAAATCCATCTGAAAACTGCTTTATGGCTGAATGTACAGGAACATTAAGAGAAATTATATTTTCATCATGAAAAAAATTTAGACTTAATTTCCATCACATTTAAGCACCAAAATTCTCATTACTCCATTATCACCATAGTACAGTTATGATCCATTGTTGTTTTAGTATCACTGAGATAATATAGTTTTTGTTAATTTTTTGAATATGAATATATTTTCTGCTTTCATGTTAATTTTATTTTTAGAAATTGTGTTTTTTGTCATTTTTATTATTTTTTGTTGTTTTTATATATGTCTTTATAGTTTTTATTAATTTATATCATTTTTAGTCATTTTAGTACATCAAGTCTTGGAAACTAGCTGAAATAAAAAAAATAAGTTTAAGTTTTTTATATTTAGTTATATTTCAATTGACATTTATTTTATTAAAGTAACAACATGGTTTAGTTCTCTGGACTTACTGTTTTATATATATATATATATATATATGGTATAAAATGGACTTCAAATACAAATGTAGTGCTTCATTTGCACTGTGGGTTGAAGGAAATAGTTTGACAAACACAATCAAACGGTTTTTGTTAAACAATTTTTTTCAGATCCCAATTTCGTCAGGACGTTTTTGACCACATACCGATCATTCTGTAAACCTCAGGAGCTGCTGGATCTGCTCATGGAGAGGTCAGATGCTCACATTCTCACAATCAGCACTGCAAACACCTGCAATAGTGCATTCACTCACTCACTCACTCACACACACTCACACACACTCACTCACTCACACTCACTCACTCACTCACTCACTCACTCACTCACACTCACTCACTCACTCACTCACTCTGACACACACACTCACCCACTCACACTCTCACACACACACACAGAAACACAAAAACAGATTGCCAAGATTAAAGAAGATATAACATCAGATGGGCATGAATCGTTTGTGCAATTTGAAGAAAAACTTATAGAAGATTTAGAACGATTATCCAAAAAGCTCAAGCAAGAGAAGTTGGCAAAATTTGGAAGAGACGAAAATGATTATAAGGAGCATAAGGTATACACATGGTCACAAAGGAATGTAAAGACTCATAGAAAGAGATCAGTGTCTTTTAATTTACCGAGTAGTGATGAAGATCAATCAGCAGTGGAGATTTCACCCAGAAGAGTTTTTTTAGGAAACAAGTCCAGAATGTTTCAGAGATCCAGAAGACAAGAGGACGGAAGACGAGACGAGGAAGAGGTAGATCGGTCAAGACTCCCAATTCAAGGCAGATACACCAGGAGTCGAACAAGGGAGATGAAGTGATAAGCATTTCAAATATTATTCTACCGACAAGCTGTACTTCTGTTTTATCAAAAGGTCTGACCTATGCACCAACAAATACAGCGAAAGAATTCCAGACCAAAGTGGACTTATTCAAGTTCCATCGGAGTCTTCAGTTAAAAGTCTGGTACTATACACCTGAACCGGCCACTCGTACTTACGATAAGAAGATTACATCTTTTAAGCCCAAATCAACATTTATACCATGTGCATCTAATCCAACGTTGAATTCCTTCTACAAGAAAGTAACGTATGAAACTGATAATAGCCGCAACGCGTAGGTGTGTACTTGTCACCTGTTCTTAAAACTTATAGCCATGATGAAATAAAGGCTTTTTAAATTTTTTTGAATAAGTTTAGAGTGCCTTGGATTACTAGTATTCTTAATAGTTTATAGTGTGTTTACTGTTTTCACTATAAAAAAAAAACGCTCACCCATAATCAGCTGTTTACAGTATTTAAAAGTTTTCTTATAGTCATGATGATATTTTTTGTAATGCTATGAAGTTATTGTCGTATCCACGGAAACGTCTCTCCATACAGCGGTCTGTGTGTTTGCGATCCAGGTTTGATATTCCCGAACCTAAACCCACAGAAGCGGATCAGATGGCCATGGAGAACGGAGACCAGCCGCTGAGCGCAGAACTCAAACGCTTCCGCAAAGAGTTTGTTCAGCCTGTACAGCTCAGGTACACACACACACTCATACTCACTCACACACCGACTCAAACTTGCTCACTCGCACACACTAACTCACACACGCACATGCACTCACTCACACTCAGCACACACACACACACACACACTCTCTAGCTCACTTGCACACTCTCACACTCGCACACTCACTCTCAATTGCACACTCAAACGGACTTACACTCGCACACATAGTCGCACACTCGCTAACTCACTCACATGCACACTGACTCAAACTCGCACACTAATGCACATTCACTCACACACTTACTCACACGCACACACTCACAC